GTCTATTTCCCTAACTCTGCCCCTCATGTTTTAATAAACCTCTATAAGGTCACCCCTCAGCCTCCGATACTCCCGGGAAAATAGCCCCAGCCTATTCAGTCTCTCCCAATAGCTCGAACCCTCCAACCCTGGGAACGTCCTTGTAAATCTTTTCTGAGCCCTTTCAAGGTTCACAACATCCTTCGTTTAGCAGGGAGACCAGAATTGCATGCAGTATTCCAAAAGTGGTCCACCCAATGTCCTCTACAGCCGCAACATGACCTCCTAACTCCTGTACTCAATGCATTGACCAATTAAGGCAAGCATTCCAAATGCCATCTTCACTATCCTGTCTACCTAGGATTCTACTTGCAAGGAACTATGAACCTGCACTCAAGACCTCTTTGTTCAGCAACACTCCTCTGGACCTTACCATTAAGTGTGCATGTCTTGCCCTGATTTGCCTTTCCAAAATGCAGCACCTCTCATCTATCTAAATTAAGCCCAATCTGCCACCCCTTAAGTAGCTTTATATGTGGTAACTAATCAAATGCCTTTTGAAAAACCGAAGATATTAAATACATTGCTTTCCCTTTATCTATCCTGCTTGCAATCTCAACAGCGAATTCTAGTAAATTTATCAGGCATGGTTTCCCCTTCGTGAAGCCATGCTGATGCTGCTTGATTCTATTATGTATTTGTAACTGCTCTGCTATGGTACCATTTGTAAATTCTGACATTTTCCCAATAACAGATATAACTATCCTATAGTAGCCTGTTTTTATTTGTCTCTTTCCCTTTTTAAATAAAGGTGTTACAGTTTTCTAATCCCCTTGGACTTTGCCAGAATCTAAGGATTCCTGGAAGATTGCCACCAGAAAATCTGCTATTTCTGTTGCTACATTCTTTAATATCCTAGGATGCAGCCCATCATGTTCTGGAGATTTAGCAGTGGTTAGCCATCTTTGTTTCCCTAGCACCTTTTCTGTAATCAGACTTATCATATTCATTTCCTGTCCTCATCTTGCCCCTTGATTATTGAGTAATTTTGGAATGCTATTATAAGTGTCTTCTACTGTGGTAATTGCAGTAAATATTTATTCAACTCCTCTGCTATTTCCTGGGTCCCCTGTATTTTCCCAGCCTCATTCTCTGAGGGGACTATGTTCATTTTCTTGGCTCCTCCCTTGGCTTCTCCCTTTTTTATAAAATTAAAGAAGCTCTTGCTGTCTGTCTTAATATTACTTGCATGTTTACCTTCAACGTTTATCTTCCTCATTTTTATTGGTTGTCTTTTACAGAGTCATACAGCATGGAAAAAGACCCTTTGATGCAACCAGTCCACACTGGCCATGTTCCTAATCTAATCTTGTCCCACTTACTTGCATTTGGCCCATATTCCTCCAAACCTTTCCTATTCATGTACCTGTCCAAATGTATTTTAAATGTTGTAACTGTACCTGCATCCACCATTTCCTCTGGCAGTTCATTCCACACATGAATTTCACTGTGTAAAAAAAAAAAAATTATCCCTCATGTCCTTCTTAAAACTTTCTCCTGTTAGCTTAAAATATGCCCCTAGTTTTGAACTCACCCACCCTAGGGAACAGACTCTTACTAATCAACTTACGTACGCCCCTCATGAATTAATACACATCTGTAAGGTCACCTCTCAGCCTCCTATGCTCCAGTGAAAAAAGGTCACAGCCTATCTAGCCTATTTTTATAACTCAAACCCTGAATTCCCAGCAACATCCTGGTAAATCTTTTTTGAACCGCTCTAATGTAGTAACATCCTTACACAGCAGAGCAACCAGAACTGCACACAGTATTCGGAAGAGGCCTCCCCAACGTCCTGTAAAGTCTCAGCATGACATCCCAACTCCTAAACTAAATAGGCTGAGCAATGAAGGCAAGTGTTCTAAATGGCATTTTAACCACCTTGTCTACCTGTGACTCAAATTTCAAAAAATTATGTACCTGAACCCCTAGGTCTCTGTTCTACAACACTACCCAGGGCCCTACCATTAATTGTACAAGTCCTGCCCTTGTTTGTTTTACCAAAATGCAAAACCACGCATTTATCCAAATGCAACTCCATTTGCCACTCCAGCCCATTGACCCAATTATTCAAGATCTCTTTGGAATCTTGGACAACCTTCTTCTTTGTCCACTATATCGCCAGTTTTGGTGTCATCCGCAAACTTGCTAACCATACCTCCGATATCCTCATCCAAATAGTTTGTATAAATGACCAACAAAAGTGGACCAATCCCTGTGGAACACTGCTGGTCACAATCCTCAAGTTTGAAAACCAACCCTCCACCATCACCCTCTATCTCCTATGGTCCAAAGCCAATTTTGTATCCACCTGGTAAGCTCGCCCTGAATCCCATGTGATCCAACTTTAATTAGTCTGCCATGTGGAATCCTGTCAAAGGCTTTACCAAAGTCCATGTAAACAACATCTACTGCCCTGCTCTCACGAATCTTTTGGGTTGCTTTTTAAAACTTTCCTAATGCTCTGTAATACTTTCCCAATTCTCTGGTTTACCACTAATCTTTGCCAATCATAGAATTTTACAGTACAGGATGAGGCCATTCAACACATTGTGTGGACAAGCTCCCAAAAGAGCTATCCAGGTCTACCTCTGTATTCCTCTAAATTCCTCACTTTCAAATAGATATCCAGCTCTCTGTTGAAACCTTGTATCGAATCTGCTTCCACCACTCCCCCAGTTCCAAATCCTAACAATTTGAGTAAAGAATTTTCTCCTCCTCTCATTCCTAGCCCTCTTGCTGACAATCTTGAAGTTGTGACCTCTAGTTACTTCTAAAATCCCTCATTCCTGGTATCATTCTAGGAAATCTTCTTTGCATTGTCTCTAGGGCTTTAACATCCTTTCTTAAATAAGGTGCTCGGAACTGAATAGTGTATATTTACCTTATCCTGTATTATGGCCTCCATCAGTTTGCCCACTTTTGACATCAGGCTGGCATGTCTGTCGTTTCCTGGGTTATCTTTCGGTAATAATGGTATTACATTTGCAATCCTCCAGTCCCGGGACTAACCTTGTGTTCAGAAAGACCTGGAAAATTTCTGTCAACAGCTCCGCAATTTACTCTCTCACCTCGCTCAGAAATCTCTGATGCATCCCAACCGGCCCTGGCAATTTCACTACCTGGAGTGCTGCTAGTCTTTTTAGCACTACCTCTTTATCTATCACTATAATGCTCAGTTGCTTAACATCCACATTTTCAACTAGGCCATTGTCACCATTTTCTAATTTGGTAAGGACAGGAGGTGGAGGTGCTGATGTTGGACTGGGGTGGACAAGGTCAGAAATCACGTGACACCAGGTTATAGTCCAACAGATTTATTTAAAACCACAGGCTTTCGGAGCCTCTCAAGGGTGTTAGAAGGACTGAGGTTCTGAAAGCTTGTATTTTCACATAAATCTGGACTATAACGTGGTGTAGTGTGACTTCTGACCTTGGTAAATACGGAAGTAGAGTGCTCAATTAGTACTTCTGCCATTCCCTGTGCTTCACTGAGCATTTTACCCTCCTTGTTCCTTATGGGACCCACTCTATCCTTTACTAATCTCTTACTATTATATGTTGAAGACCATTTCACTATCTGTTTGAGTGCAGCCTGCTGTCCTTTCCTTGTATTTCCTTTTAGCCTTCCTTATTTCAACCTTAGCCTCTCTCCTGCATTTGACATAGCCTTGATTTCTTTGCTATGTATTTTTTTTGTCAGTTTGATGCTATTCATAACTTCACAGGTTGACAATTGTTAGCTTATTCCCTTTCCTAGAATTAAAGAACATGGTGCAAAGGCTGCCCACATGGAGCTTGACTGCAGATCACCCATGATCTCATTGTATCCACAAATGGGCTTGATGGATGAAATTAGCATTTGATCCTGTGCTTTCTTGCATTCACTTAGTTGAGGTGTTCCAGCTTGAGATCTTCAGTTGAAAAGATTTTACCTGAATGTCAAATCCAAACATTTTGAATCCAACAACAACTTCTATTTATAGAGCTCCTTTAACATCATAAAACATCCCAAAGTATTTCATAGAAGCATTATCAGACAGATGTGACTCTGAGCCATATGAGATATTTGGGCAGATAGCCAGAAATCTTATGAAAGAGCGTTAGTTTTAAGGAGTAGGGACTGCAGATGCTGGAGAATCTGATTTAACAAGGTGTAGAGCTGGATGAACACAGCAGGCCGAGCAGGAAGGCTGACGTTTCGGGCCTAGACCATTCTTCAGAAAAACTATCTCTAGTTTTAAGGAGTGCTTTAAAGGAGGAGAGCAAGTAGAGAAGCTGGAAGAGGGAAGTCCAGAGCTTGTTACCTGGACAATTGAAGGCAAGACAACCAGTGGTGGAACTGTGAAAATGGAGGATGTGCAAGATATTAGAATAAGAGGGGCACAAAGATTTTGAGGTTCCAGGGCTGGAGGAGTTGGGATGAGACCATGTCGTGAAGTGATTCTAGAACTGGAACGAGGATTTTTAAAAATGTGTTGACTTTCATCCAGCAACGTATGCAAGTCATTATGCTCAGCCTAACATTATCTAAGTTGTTACAGTATTTTAATTTTATCAATCCTGTGGTTGTAGTCATGTAATACAGAGGTGTTTAAAACTACTTCTATATGAAGGGTCTAGGCCCGAAACGTCAGCCTCTCTGCTCCTATGATGCTGCTTGGCCTGCTGTGTTCATCCAGCCCTGCACCTTGTTGTCTCTATATTTCACACAATTGGATTTCAGATTTTTTGAGTGACTTCGCCATCAGTTTTTGAAGTTGATCTTTACCAAAGTAATCAATGTGACAAACAAAACTGAGATTTGCACGCGATTAATAAAGAAGAATTGTCTTGAATTTTTTTGAAATTCTCATAGAATTACAATATATTTTAACACACCCACTTATTGTTTTAACGTTTGGCCTCACTAAGAGCACTAGAAGAGAGAAGTTGTGCTCAGACATCTGATGTGGTTGAATTAACAAGATCAGGGAACTGATTCCTCCAAGCCCTTCCTAAGCAGATGTCAATGTTAAGGTTTTGATTCTACAACTTTTCTCCTCTTAACTATTTATGAAAACAGAGATACTCTTGACACTTTTTGTCTTGGACTAATTGGAACAGAAGCACAAGAATACCATGTTTCAAAGATGGCGACAATTTATACTATATGAGAAAAAGATCGTGATTGATTGATCAGTGAATCTTGACATGGAGAATGCACCCGGGAACTATTGCCTCCTAAGCTTTTGTTTAAACGACTGCTTCCTGCCACAGTGCTGTTGTGGGGAAGTTGATTAGCTAATGTCATTAACATGCACCTGGACCAGGAAGTTGGCACTCACACTGCCAAATTGTGCATGCACAGCAGTATTAACATCATCATTGCAGTGACAGTATCACTTAGCACCCTGCTGTGAGCTCAGCTCACTGCTTTGCTCCAGCACTTAGCTCACTTTTGTGCCCTGCACTGGTGCTTGGCACATCACCCCACTGGATGTTTGGCTTGCCACCTGACTCTGTGGCATTTGGCTATCTCTGTTGCCCCACTGTGAATTGGGCTCACCACTATGCTGCCCTGCTCTGACGCTTAGTTCACTGCTCCACTGACCCCCAAAGGCTCAGCTTGATGGATCACTTCACTGCCTCGCTCTAGTACTTGATTTATTGCTCCACTGAGAGCTTGGTTCACAGCCTCGCTATCTCCTGCCAATACTCAGCTCATCACTCTGCCACCCTGCTTGCCTCTGTAGAAACTGCAGAAATATTTGAAAAAGAACACATTTTATTGCCTATGCAGTTGAAATTGCTTTGATTTGATCCTAATTATTGCAGAAAACAGCATCCCTGCTAGAGGCATTGCAGGCATTGTGAGTGCCTGAGTTATGAATCTGCCCCCTGCACATATTATTTAATTCAAAGGAAGCTCAATACCTGAAGGTATTCCATTTTCTCCACCAAGGACATGTCCCTGCATGTGAATGTATCTAACTTCTAAGAAGTGTAAATAATCCACATTGCAAATCAGATTAATGTTAAATTGTTAGCGTATTTTGTAGCACATTGTTCAGCAAATGCCATTCATCTGTGGAATCTAATCTAACAGTAAACATTATGTTCTGAGTTTTGGAAGGATGGACTGCTTGTGTAGGGTCAGTACTTTGTGACAGCTGAAGGCATGTGCAGTTTGATACAATTGTCCACACATTGGAACGTATGGCTGACATCCCAAACGTCACACTGGCTCTGAAAATCATAGACAGCGTTACCCATTTGTGTGGTGGAAAGAATGTCCTTTTTTTTTTTGCTCGAATTTCATCTTGTTAGCGGAGAACACTACGTGTCACTGTTGCACTGTGACTAGTTTCACATGGTGTTCAGGTTTTCTTTTGATACATTACATTTTCAGGATAATTTGAGGTGCGCTGGCACTTTTCAAATTTGAAGGTAGCAGCCTTAAACCCATTCATGAGTATGCATGAATGCAAAGCAAGCAATGGTCTTATCATGGTAGCCATTGTCCTCCAGGATAGCTTTGCACTCTTTCAGAGTAAAACATGCATGGTGAGCAAATGGCCTGGGCCCTTTTTGAAATTTTCAATACAGCAGATCTTATTGTGTGGGGAGTTGTTTGAATGCCAATCTATAAATTGGCTAGTTAAGGTAGGTTTGCACTGGATGGCAATAGGGAACCCATTAACAGATTTCTTAACAAGTACATTGACAAAAGGGAGCTCATTAGGCTGCTCCCTTTCAAGGTGAATTTGAATGTGAGATGGAGTACATTGAGGTGTGTAAATACATTTTAACTACAGCCACAGTTTTGAATACAGTATGCACATCAGAAATATGCATGGGGTGGGTGGTTACAGCTCATGCCATCAGAAATGTGCTTCTCATGAAAACTGACAAAAATATTATCAAGAACTGGGCCTAAAGGAGATTTCATGGCAACAACATCTATTTGCAAAAAGTGGTTAAATGAAAGCTGAACTCAACTAAATTAGTTCAAAAGTTCAATGAATACGGATAGAAAAATGACAACACATCCCAATTGCCATGATTACTTTAAGGTATTGATATTAAACTTGAACATTTGTACAATTTACACATTAAAAAATCTTCTCCCGTTCAACAATGTGCATTCTAATTCCACTTATTCTAATGCCCCTGGTGTACATTCCATTCACTATCAGTACCCAAAATGTGACCTCCATGTCTCCATAATAACATTAAACACCCTATAGAAATGCAATGTCCTTGTAGCTGCACTATTATTTAACTGAAATTGATATAAAAATTCTTGGCTCAGTATTTCTTTAAGCACAAGTCAAGAAAAAATTTTGAGAATGGTAACCAACACTGATAAAATACCTTGCTTATACTCTCATTTGACTGAGAGAATTAACCATTTCTAAGTGCTTTGTTGTACTTTCTTTTTGTCTCATCAGCATAGAGAATTTTCACGTGTACCTTGAAGACATCATACGGCATAGATGGGAACTTGAAGAGGGAAAGGAAAACCCACTGGAGGGAATCCATTTTAGGGCACTTTCTACCCGAGTAATTATAGAAATTTTGCACAAACTTTGTGATTATCGTCTGGATGCAACAGATGTGTTTGACCTACTCAAGGTAAGGGATTTTTATCTTCTACAGTTATAGAGTCATTGAATCATAGCACTGTACAGCATGGAAATAGACCTTCCTGTCCAACTTGTCCACACTGACCAGACACCTCAAACTGACCAAGACCCATTTGCCAGCATTTGGTCCATATCCCTCTTAAACCCTTCCTATTCAGATAACCATCCAGGTGCCTTTTAAATGTTGTAATTGTACCCAACTCATTCCATTACATGCACCACCCTCTGTGTGGGAAAAGTTGCCCCTTGAGGTCCCTTTTAAATCTTTCCCCTCTCACCTTAAACCTATTCCCTCTAGTTTTAGACACCCCACCCCGGGGAAAGACCTTGTCTATTCACCTTATCCATGCCTCTCATGATTTTATCACCTGCTATAAAGTCACCCTCAGCCTCCAACCCTCCAGGGAAAATAGCTCCAGCCTCTTCCATCTCTCCCTGCAGCTCAAACCCTCCAATCCTGGCAACATCCTATGTAAATCTTTTCTGAACCCTTTCAGGATTCATAACATTCTTCCTATATCAGAGAGACCAGAATTGCATGCAGTATTCCAAAAGTCGCCTAACCAATGTCCTGTAAAGCTGCAACATGACCTCCCAACTCCTGTACTTTATGCACTTGCCAATAAAGGTAAGCATACCAAACACCGCCTTCATTATCCTGTCTACCTGGGACTCCACTTTCAAGGAACTAAATACCTGCACTCCAAGGTCTCTTTGTTCAGCAACATTCCGCAGGACCTTACCACTAAATGTGTATGTCTTGCCCTGATTTGTCTTTCCAAAATGCAACACCTCCCATTTATCTAAATTAAATTCCACCTGCCACTCCTCAGCCCATTGGCCCATCTGATCAAGGTCCTATTGTACCTTGAGGTAACCTCCTTCGCTGTCCACTACACCTCCAATTTTGGTCTCATCTGCAAACTTATTAACCATACCACCTATGTTCACATCCAGATCATTTATGTAAATGACGAAAAGCAATAGACCCAGCACCGATCCTTGTGTCACACCACTGGTCACGCCTCCAGTCTGAAAAGCAAACATCCATCACCACACTCTGTCTTCTACCTTCAAGCCAGTTCTGTATCCAAATGGCTAGTTCTCCCTGTCTTCCATGTGAACTAAACTTACTAACCAGTCTACCATGAGGAACCTTGTTGAGCACCTTATTGAAGTCCATATAGATCATGTCCACCGCTCTGCCCTCATCAATCCTCTTTGTTAGTTCCTCAAAAACTCAATCAAGTTAAACACACGATTTCCCACGCCCAAATTCATGTTGACTATCCCTAATCAGTCCTTGCCTTTTCAAATGCGTGTAGATCCTGTCCCAGCAACACTTGCCCACCACCAATGTCAGGCTCACATGTCTACAGTTCCCTGGCATTTCCTTACCACCATTCTTAATATCCTTGCATATATAATTATGCAAACACTAACTGCATGGATTAGAGTGAAATAATTTTGCTGGATGGTTTTAAAAAGCTTTGTTTTGGATAATTTCAGTCATTCAGCTCATTGATCCTGTGTCAGCTCGCCAATTAAGAACTGTCCACTTTATCCTTTTCCCTTCTAATTTTTTCTCTAACAATTATTACATCCAGTTCTGGTGGAAGGTTCAATTCTAAAAGTCCTGCCAATTGTAACTCTTGATATCATATTTTGATTATTAAAGTCTTTTATGAAGACTTTTTACAAAGTCTTAATATTCCTGACACTGACCAGGCAAAATAGTTTTCCGTGTTCACTTTAATAACTGCCATCACCCCATAATTCTGAACACTTCTGTCTTTTGTTCTAATGAAAAAGCTTCACATTTTTAGTTTTCAGTTTTTGGAATATAATGATAAGTTCAGTTGTTAGCCAACTTTGCTTAGATCTGAATTTGTTAGGCCAGTTTTGTATCTATTATGTGCACTGTCAATTTAAAACTGCATTTTCTATACATATTTTTCACTTTTCACCTATTTTTGGATGACTTGCACCCGATGATAACAGGTTTTAATAAAATTTCCATCCAGTGATTATATGAGCTGATGCAAGCCTATTGATGTGTGGTCAGTAAGCTTGAGGCATTACAAAGCAGTGTTTTGAATCTAAATCTGGTATCATGTATTGATTTGTTTCAGGGTCTTGAAGCAGACAGCTTAAGAGTAGAGCCCCTCGGAGAGGACAGTGTCGGAGCACGATACTGGTATTTCTATGGCACCAGATTGTACAAAGAACTTCCTCCACCAAAACCACCCAAGGAAACATCAAAACCTAAAGCACCAAAGAACGATAATAAGTAATGTAAATTCTGTATTACAAGCTAAGGTTGGAATTGTTTAAAGTGCAAAATCTTTCTAATCTGATGTAAATAGATAATACAATATTAAGATCTTAAAATAGTTCTGTGTGTAATTTAGTTTCACAGACTGCATGATTCAGGAGTATAAAACCCCTTAAGTGTTTACACCCAAAATCCCATGGAAGCTTTGATGAGCACAGCCTATACGTTACCAGTTTGTCATGGCTCTGTTTGAAATTTGTGATATTCTAAATGTTCAATAAATTTATCACTCTCAAAAACAATAGGATCACTCAATACTATATCCAGCCTTCAGTCATGTTTTTGTTTCATTTATCTCTTTCTTTTCCTCTCATCAACCTCTCATGCATTGTACACAAGTAATCGTGGTCAGGTTTTCAGGTTAACTAAGCCATCAGGCAGGGAGGAGGAATAATTGGACTAGTGTTTGTGGGTATCGATCTAAATCCATTTCAGAATCACATTTCCTTTGTTACAATTTGCGTTTGTAAAAGTCTGATGTCTGCGTTTTTATTCGGAAACTCTTGATGTTAATCTTCTATTGCACACTCTTGCCATTACTTTCTCTTTTAAACTTGCTGAGGTAAGAAGTCATGTTGGGAAGTAATGACAAGTGTATTAACCTGCAAGATTTTAATGTGTTACTAGTTGGTCTTCTGTGACATTGAACCCAGGCATTCAGTATTGCATTTTTCAGAACAAACAAGCTTTGAAGTTGTGGATAGTAGAACCATTATATGGCAGTGGTTGGTAAGTGGGACTGGTGAGGTAGGAGGAAAGAAAGAAAAGGTGATGGGGAAGGAAGAGGAGGCAAACCAAGACAGTTGTAATTGATGGAGGTAGGTAAAGAACAAGACAACCATTGGACAAGATGTCAATTCAGAGGAAGTGTACTCTTCCCAGCTTATTCTCAAACTTCCATTCTCCCACTGTTGTCAGTCTTTCAGAAACAGATGTATAGTATTGCATAAACTCTCATTTATGTCTTTACTTGAGCACTTATTTTGATCATAGTGGTATTCTTTCTCTTTTTTTTCAGACGAAAGCTATCTCCCTACTTCTCCTCCCCCAGCTGTTCTTTTTAGATAGTGTATTTTTCATTATACTGTCATAAAGCTAGCGAATCAGGTATGCCCTGTGACAAACTATTAAGCGTATTAACTGAGGCAGTCCAAGGAATTGTGAGCTACACGAAATGGAAGACTGTTTGCAAGTGGTGTTCAATTTTATTTGTTTTTATAAATTTATTTCAACAATTGGGATTACTTATTAAATGAGAACTTAATGAAGGCATTAGTCCCTCCACCACCTTCATCCCCCCACCCCGCACCCCAATCACTCACTCCAGTTCACAGAACAGACTTGATATTTTGTACACCAACAATGAGTGTTGTATTTAGGCCATAACTGGGCCAAGTGTTACACCTGTTCGTAGGAGAGCATTTTTGTGGTAGCGATCATAACTCTGTTACTTTTACAATCGTCATGGTAAAGGATAGGTACATACAGCAGGGTAAGGTTTATAATTGGGGCAAGGGTAATTACAATTCTGTTAGGCAAGAACTGGGTAACATAAAATGGGAACAGATGCTGTCAGGGCAGAGCACTATTGAAATGTGGAGATTGTTTAAGGAATGCATACTGCGTGTGTTAGATATGTTTGTTCCTAGCAGGCAGAGAAGATACGGTCGAGTGAGGGAGCCTTGGTTCTCAAGAGAGGTGGAACGACTGGTTAAGAGGAAGAAGGATGCTTATGTAAGGTTTAGGAAACAAGGAACGGAAAAGGCTCTAGAGGGATACAAGTTATCTAGGAAGGAGCTGAAGAAAGGGCTTAGGAGAGTTATAAGGGGGCATGAGAAAACCTTGGCAGATAGGATCAAGGAAAACTCCAAGGCTTTTTACACATACGTGAGGAATAAGAGAATGACCAGAGAAAGGGTAGGGCCGATCAAGGATTGTAAAGGAATTTGTGCACGGAGCCTAAAGAGATAGGAGAGGTCCTTAATGAATACTTTTTTTCAGTATTCACAACTGAGAGGGACCTAGTTGTAGAGGAGGACAGTGCGAAACAGGCTGGTAGGCTAGAGGATGTCGCTGTTACTAAATAAGATGTGCTAGGAATTTTGAGGAAGTTGAAGATAGATAAGTCCCCCAGGCCTGATGGGATTTATCCAAGGATTCTATGGGAAGCGAGGGAAGAGATTGCAGGACCTTTGGCGATGATCTTTTTGTCCTCACTGTCCACGGGTGTAGTGCCGGAAGATTGGAGAGAGGCAAACGTCATTCCCTTGTTCAAAAAAGGGAATAAGGATAACCCCAATTACAGGCCAGTTAGTCTTACTTCAGTGGTGGGCAAATTATTGGAAAGGGCTCTGAGAGATAGGATTTATGATCACTTGGAAAGGCATAGTTTGATTCGTGATAGTCAGCATGGATTTGTGAGGGGTAGATCATGCCTCACAAACCTTATTGAATTCTTTGAAGAGGTGACCAAACATGTGGATGAAGGTAGAGCAGTGGATGTGATATACATGGATTTAAGTGAGGCGTTTGAAAAGGTTCCCCGTGGTAGGCTCATGCAGAAGGTAAGGAGGCATGGGATAGGGGGAGATGTGGCAGATTGGATTCAGAATTGGCTGACCCTTAGAAGACAAAGGGTGGTAGTGGACAGAAAATATTCAACATGGTGCTCAGTTACGAGTGGTGTACCACAAGGATCTGTTCTGGGTCCTCTTCTATTTGTGATTTTTGTAAATGATTTAGATGAAGGAGTGGAAGGGTGGATCAGTAAGTTTGCGGACGATATGAAGGTGGGTCGCATTGTGGACAGTGTGGAGGGCTGTTCTAGGTTACAAAGGGACATTGATAGGATGCAGAGCTGGGCTGAGAAGTGGCAGATGGAGTTTAACCCTGAAAAGTGTGAGGTGATTCATTTTGGAAGGACAAACTTGAAAGCAGAATACAGGGTTAACGGAAAGATTCTTGGCAGTGTGGAGGAGCAGAGGGATCTTGGGGTTCATGCCCACAGTTCCCTGAAGGCTGCCACCCAGGTGGATAGAGTTGTTAAGAAGGCATATGGTGTGTTAGCATTCATTAATAGAGGGATTGAGTTCAAGAGCTGTGAAGTTATGCTCCAGCTATACAAAAGCCTGGTTCGGCCACATCTGAAGTATTGTGTCCAGTTCTGGTCGCCTCATTACAGGGAAGATGTGGAAGCATTGGAAAAGGTGCAGAGGAGATTTGCCAGGATGTTGCCTGGAATGGAGGGAAGGTCTTACGAGGAAAGGTTGAGAGAGCTAGGGCCTTTCTATTTAGAACGACGAAGGATGAGAGGTGACTTGATAGAGGTGTACAAAATGATCAGAGGTATAGATAGAGTGGACAGCCATAGACTTTTTCCTAGGGTGGAGGTAGCTATTATGAAGGGGCATAGTTTTAAAGTGAGTGGAGGTAGATATAGGGGAGACGTCAGAGGTAGGTTCTTTACTCAGAGAGTGGTTGGGGCATGGAATGCATTGCCGGAGAGGGTAGTGGAGTCGGCCTCATTAGGGGCATTTAAGCAGCTATTAGGTAAGCATATGGATGATAGTATAAGGTAGGGGTGGAGGTTAGATAGACCTTAGGTTTAGGGTAAAAGTTCGGCATAACATCGTGGGCTGAAGGGTCTGTACTGTGCTGTACTGTTCTATGTTCTATGTATGAGTGTAACAGCTTGAAACATGGATGCAGCATACTATCATCACTGCGGAATATAAGTATTGTGAGATGCAAAGTGTTTAAAATTTTTCAACATTTGATTTCTAGAAAAGGAAAGAAACTTAAGGAAGAGGGAAAAACAAAAAATTTTGGAGTCATGCATAAAAATATTGCAACAAAGAGCAAAGATGAAAAGCAGAAGAAGAAGTGGAAACTTCGTTACAGTTTATCTAAAACAAGGTAGGGTAGACTATTTAAACAAGCATTTATTTGAAGTATAGCATATGTAATGTTCTACAGGTTGGCTTTAAAGATAGGAAAATGTGCTTCTGTTTTCAAAGTAGAAATGTACTTTCTTAAAATTTACTTTGTCCTCTCCCACTTTAGTTATTTTGCCGCAAAGTTACTGCAATGATATTCAAAGATGGAAAATTCAGCTTACACTCTTGAAACTATTTTAAATGTTAGATTACAATGTTACAGAGTATGACATAACTTTACAAAGCACTATATAGCATGAGTTTCAGGCTAATGACTTCCTAGGAATTAGATGGTTTTGTCAAAGGCTAGCACGTGTGGGAAGGAAATCCTTCCCTCTCCCAGCCTTTCCAAGCAAGAGTGGCGTACTAAGGAATATTAAGGGCTACGCAAATTTGTGCCATCTTGTCTTTCTTCCCAAATGATTGGCACATGATGCAGAAAGTGCACCTGGACTGTTGAAGGAAAATCGGTGAGCATTTCACTGAGACATTTAATAATTGTCAGTGTTAACATGTTCCAAAATATGTTTTTGATGAATAATTGCAAATTTTAAACATTCAGTTATTCTATATTAACAGTGATAAGTTTGAAAGAGTTGAAAAGGAAAGTGGAATCATTGATGGAACATCTGATGAAGAAAGTAATATGCAAAAGGAAAATGGTTCTGCAGGATATTCTGGTAAGCACAAAAATGAAACCAGTATCAGCATAACATTATTTAGCTGTATAATAGTCAGTGAGGATTAAATTTGGGTTAAGATTGGAGATGAAACTGTTCAATGGTGTGTTGTCATATTGCAACTTAAGCAAGTACTTAATATTGTTTGCGTTTTTCAAAACACGATATGCAATATCTGTTGACTCGGAGAGAGAAAATGTAAAAGATACATTTTTAAGTCATCATGTCTCAATGGTTCTTCATTTGTAATTCCACTTCACAAGACAAAATTGTTGCAGCATTATCCGTTGTCACAGCAGTAACCTCCCTTCTCCTGAATTTCAGCAATATTTGCTTTAAGCACCTTCTGAGTTTAGGTGGTGACCATCTCTGGATTTCATTGACAGTGACCAAACTTTGACTGACTTGTCTCATTTGCAGTTCACACTTTGTGGAAAGGGACCTGACAGCAGAAATAATTTGTCCAAATTTGACATAAATTTGTACAGTAATATGTTGCATCAGCAATTTAACTTAGTTCAAAAGATAAGCAACTAACTTTTATCAAACTTCAGGTACTGCTGTTTCATGAGACCTTTAAAATCTGTGTGCCAATTACAAGGTGTTGCAATTAGTACCATTGTCAACAGCCCCTGTCACTCTAAAGCTTTTAAATTGGTTTTGTTGTCTATGACATTAACTTTTAGAGTAGTTTACTCTCACTGCCCTATATCTAATTTTATTATAACAGCACTCAGGATGTTAATAACATTTCTGGTCAGGGCTGGTTTTTCATGGCTCACATCTGCAATTTTTCAATTATTTCAAAGGTGGACACGATTGATTTTAATTGGGACTTTGTTTGGATCATTAAGGAGCTTTACTTCACAAGGTGAAAGCACACAAGCAGATAAGATCAGCTTCACTTAGTTTAATTCATAAGTCTGCTTGCAATGACATTAAAAACAATAACAGAGGTCCCAGTTTAATAAGGCATCTTACTTAAACTAAATAACCTGAGTAATGAATGAATGATTCATATTGTCACATGTATTTTGGAAAATACAGTAAAAATTGTTTTGTCGCCACAACCCATTGTCATTTTTGGAGACAATGCTCACATTGCCCCTTCTCCCTCTCCTGCTCTGGGCATGCTCACATTGCTCCTTCTCTCCCTCCTCCTCCGCGCATTTCACATTTACCCCGCTGGTTATCAGATATTCAGGTTCCTGGGCTCTTCTTTTCTGCCGAGGTATGACCTTTATTTCTTGCACTTCTTCTGCAGGTCAGTAATCACTGTCCTTCCCTTCCTTTCCTCAGACTCCCAGTGATCTGTCTGAAGGGTATTAGTTGTGAAGGGGAATGTAGACCCCTTCTATGTCTTGTATAGCAGGCTGGTGTGGGAACTCTCCTGTGTTTTGCCTTGTACAGGCTAGCAGGCTGTAGAAAGTGCTGTTCTGAAAATAATCAAACATTCTAATGCAATGAATGTGAGCATGCATTAGAACAAGCAGCAGGAACAGATCATTCAACCCCTCAAGCCTGCTCCACCATTATTTTTGATTGTGGCTGATCTGATTGTAACCTTAAACCCACATTCCTGCCTACCACTGATCACCTGTCACCCTCTTGATTTACAAGATTTTTTCCAACTCTGCCTTAATCGTATTCAAGGACTCTGCTGCCATCACCTTTTTAGGAAGAGATTTGCAAAGATTTGAAACCCTCTGAGAGAAAACGAATTCATCTAATCTGTTTGAAATGGACACGCCCTAGTTTGTGAGTCTCCCATAAAAAGAAAAATCAACTCCACATCCACTCTAGCAAGACCCCTGGGATGTTATATGTTTCAATTAACTTGCCTCTTACTCTTCTAAACTCCAATGAATGCATGCCTTTCCTCCTAAGGTCAAGTTTTCTCCAAACTTTCCTCCTAAGGCAACCCACTCATGTATTATAGTCTAGTAAATCTTTCCTAAACTACTTCCAATGCATTTACACTCTTCCTTCAACTAGATGACCAATGCCGTGCACAGTACTCCAGATGTGGTCTCACCAGTAACTGTCCCTCAAAGATGCACAGTCTCTGGGAGGCTCCATGCACAGTGAGCAGTGTACCGATGCATGGAAGCCACTGCAAGGCACTGACCTTGGAGGTCTGCACAACAAGGGGTACAAGGGGATGCATTAGAAGCAGCACTGCTATCATTGCCCCATTTACTGAAGCATGACTTCCCTGCTTTTGTATTCAACCTCCCTCGCTGTAACTTTTAATATTCTGTTAGCTTCCCTAAATACATGCTGTGCCTTTTTTGAGGTGCTTCCAGATTGGAGGGCAGGATTGAACCACCAAAATTTATATGTTTGTGATTCCAAAGCCAGTTAAAGACAATTCCACTGTAGCTTTGGTCTGCACCCCATATATTACATACCGTCATGGTTACTAGAGAAGTGAAATGTTACACAAAGTATTTCTTGCAACAGTGTAGGTCCACAGAGTATTTTCATCTATAGTAAAATGTTATACAAGTTTCCAAATCATGATCTGTAAGGGGATACATTTTATCTTTCTTTGTTAGCTCTTCAGAATTCGCATGAAGTCCTGGTGCTATGAAAAATCACTCCTTCTGTATTTAATTTCTTACTGTAGATTCTTCAACGATGATGCACCTAGAAGAATGGAGTACTTGGTCTCTTGTGTGTCACACTTTGGAAGAGTGGCAACGTCTCGCTGATGGTTTCAGAGAGAGCCAATGTTCAAAAGAGCGGAAGCTATACAAAATTTTGACTGAGAACTTTATTCCTGAAATCAGCAATCTGATTGTACAGAAGGTCAGTTAAGAAGAGAGAACAAGCAGTAAATTATTATTGTTAGGAAGTTAATTTCACATTATACAATGTAGGTGGCAGAGCGATGTGACTGCTTACAAGCCTGTCAGTGGCAAGACCAAATTTTTTGTTTCGAAAGCCTTCTGACCATGTACTTTTCTTTTGACGTAGCTGCCAGCTACATAGTGATTTACAGGTGCCCATCCTCTTCACCCAGCTGTCAAATGCTAATGTAGAGGCAACTTTATACTCTTTATCCAAGACAACAAATTAGAGATTAGAATCAAGCCAGTTTAGTCTATCTGTAAATTTATTAACTCCTAGGCTTATATTTCCAGCTCTCAAAAGTTGATTTTGCTAACCTGCAAATTATTATTTCGTGGTTTACTTTAATAAATTAACTGCTTTCTTTTTAAATTTGGATTCCAGCAAAAAATTAATGTAAGACAGTTATATTTTTATTCATGGGTTGATCATGCACAGCAATGCATGCTGGGAATCTTGATCAAATGTCATTTTTTTTTTACACTAAATGTGGCCTTCAACCAAAGTGGAACTAGAAGATAGGGAATAACTGGCCTGTGGTACAAAGATGTAAAAGCCATACGTTTTGTCCATCCTTCTATTTTGTATATCGATTTTATGTTTACAGCTGGGTAGCAAAAATTGGTAAGCAGAAGGGTCAAAGCAACAGAGTTGGAATTGAGGAATTATTATAGTACTACCTAGTGCAGAATTACAATGACAGCAGTCGACACAAGCAGTCTTTATCCTAAAGTACATTCGGTAAAGTTAACTGTATGCTGATGTGCAAATTTTTTTTTAATCTGAAAATACTTGCACGTAAAACAAAATCAACTAACGTTCCACTCTCTCTCTCTGTCCTCCTTGATGAGTGATTACTAATTTGTGGCATTCTGGAATAACCTAGAAGTTATCATACATTGTGACACACTTCAGTTTTGTTTTGTTCATAGGAGAAGCAGTTGCAGAAGAAATATGCAGAAATTGTTCCTCGCAGAGCCTCTGATCGTCTCCTTGTGAAACGTACTCAGCAGGAAGAACTTGTAAGTGATCTTTGTTTTATTCTCATTGTCTTTTTAAAACATATAATCAAGAAAGTGGACAAAGCAACGAACTAGTAGCTATGTCAAGGTGTTATTATCAGCTAGATTCTGCTAGTGTCTGTCTGTGAGGGCAACCCTGGAAAGACTAGCTCTCCAATTTTCTGAGATAACAAGGTGTAGAACTAGATGAACACAGCAGGCCAAGCAGCATCAGAGGAGCAGGAAGGCTGACGTTTCGGGCCTAGACCCTTCTTCAGAAACGGGGGAGGGGAAGGGGGTTCTGAAATAAATAGGGAGAGAGGGGGAGGCCAATAGAAGATGGATAGAGAAGATAAGTGGAGAGGAGACAGACCAGTCAAAGAGGCAGGGATGGAGCCAGTAAAGGTGAGTGTAGATGGGGAGGTAGGGAGGAGATGGGTCAGTCCAGGGAGGACGGACAGGTCAAGGGGGCAGGATGAGGTTAGTAGGTAGGAGATGGGGGTGGGGCTTGAGGTGGGAGGAGGGGATAGGTGGGAGGAAGGACAGGTTAGGGAAGCGGGGACGAGCTGGGCTGGTTTTGGGATGCGGTAGGGGGAGGGGAGATTTTGAAGCTTGTGAAGTCCACATTGATACCATTGGGCTGCAGGGTTCCCAAGCGGAATATGAGTTGCTGTCCCTGCAATCTTCGGGTAGCATCATTGTGGCACTGCAGAAGGCCCAGGATGGACATGTCGTCTGTGGAATAGGAGGGGGAGTTGAAATGGTTCGTGACTGGGAGGTGCAGTTGTTTAGTGTGAGCCGAGCGTAGGTGTTCTACAAAGCGGTCCCCAAGCCTCCACTTGGTTTCCCCGATGTGGAGGAGGCCACAACGGGAATAGCAGATGCAGTATACCACATTGGCAGATGTGCAGGTGAACATCTGCTTGATGTGGAAAGTCTTCTTGGGGCCTGGGATGGGAGTGAGGGGGGAGGTGTAGGGGCAGGTGTAGCACTTCCTGCGGTTGCAGGGAAAAGTGCTGGATGAGGTGGGGCTGGAGGGGAGTGTGGAGCGGACAAGGGAGTCACGGAGAGAGTGGTCCCTCCGGAAGGCAGATAAGGGTGGGGAGGGAAAAATGTCTTTGGTGGTGGGGTCGGA